GTTTTTCAGAATTCTGCCTCACCATCTTGGGAATGGGGGAAGGGTGGGGGCGGGGGTTGAAGAAAAGGAAAGAAAATGAACAAAACTGAAAAGTATGGGTATTTTTTCATTAGAGATAAATATGAAAAATAAATAGACAGTTATGGTACAAGTCTATTTTGCTTTTTATGTGCACTGAAAAGCAGTGAGCTCCCTGAGAAATTTGAGCAAATTCAGTTCTCCAATTAGGAATAAAGGTAATAAGATTTAAAGAATGATAATGAAAGATTGTACCTAAGAGGCTTAGGTTCCTTTGTACAAGTATTATTTATTGTTGCTTCTTCTTTGCCTCTCCAGTTTAATACAAAAATAGAGTTTACTTTTTACTTTCGCAATTTTATTGTTGATGCAATGAAATTATCATCTGTCAATGGGCTTTAGTCAATGAAAATTATTTAAATAGGCCTGAGAGTCAAATATTTTCCCAAATCACCATAACAACCCAAGTCAAACTAGTAAAACTGACTACACAGGTGCAGATAAAAGATCTTATGCAAGGTGTGATGCACATTTAACTTGTCCTTATCTTTTCCCACCTCGATCCTGGCTGCTAGCCCCCTATATAGTGCTCCTTGCTTCCTAGACCCCATCCCTAGCTTTGAGCTGCTCTGACTCCGCTCTTCTCCCTGCCCCCTTCTCCTGCAGTGAGTCCCACGGCAGCCAACACCCCAAGGATCACCCGTTCTAACAGCATTCCTACTCATGACTCCACCTTCGAGCTCTACAACGCCTCCCCCATGGGCAGCACCCTCTCCTTGGCAGACCGACCCAAGGGCATGATCCGCTCGGGCTCCTTCCGTGACCCTGTGGATGATGGTGAGAGTCCTGCACCCAGCTAGGAGGATAAGAGTCTTCTCCATAATAATGATACATTAATTCTGCATATCAGAACTTCTCAAGAATACAAGCTGGGCTGGCAGGTGGCAGTGCAGGGAGTGGCTATTATTATTGTTTTTTTTTTTTTATGGGGCAGCAAAATAGAGTAAAGGATTAAAATAATCTGATCATCTGGTTTCTTAGTTATGCATGCATGTCCAGTATCATCAATTAGGATTTGGTAGTCAGGAATCACAGTTATATCAGTCTTGCATGAGCCATAGTTGGTTTCTAGCTTTATTATGGGTTCTTCTCCCTTTTTAAGACATATTTTTAAATGGGATATGGTAACATTTCCAAATTGTCCAGAACACTTTACTATAAAGTAGCAGTCCTGAACATTTGCAACTTGGTGGCCCAGCTGGGGGGAGGGAGAGGAGTACCAGTCTCATGAGTAGTGGGCTAAGGTATATGCACATGTGTGCAATGCTTGACTTTTTGCAAGTCACACGTGTGCATGTGCACCAGCGTGCTGTTCATGCAGCTTGTTTCTGAATAGTAGTGGACCATGGCCTGGAGGTTGGGAACCCCTGCTACAAAGGAGACTGCACTGCCACCAAATGTTGATAAAGTACCAGTTTACAAGTAGATATGGGGATGAGGTTGCAATGAGGGATTGCCTACTACCATCTGGCCCTCCAGCGTGGTTTTATATCTCTGGTTCTGTAGTTGCATGAAAAACATAACTTCTACTTTGGGAACTATACTTTGGCTTTTCTATCTTAATTTAAGTGAAAACTCCTACTCTAAGAAAAAGCATGAAACACAAAAACTTAAGATTTTCATCAGGAATTTTTGTTTGCTCCAGGAAATCTTGTAACCAAGCATTCAGAAGTAAAATAATAATAATTGCTGCCTCTGAAGTCTTCTGATCAGATTTCCCACCTTAGCCATCATGCAAAGTGTTGTTCACCCACTCCTTTCTAGACATAGGACTTTCCTCCACCCCGAACTGCCATCTTACCTTCCACCCATCCATGCTACTCCTGGATCACTTGGTGACCAATCATAATCCATCTGAAGGGCAGTTGAAGAAACTTTGTGACAAGTCTCTCTCTTTCTCTCTTTATTACAGTTCATGGATCTGTGCTGTCCCTGGCTTCCAGCGCTTCGTCAACTTATTCTTCAGTAAGCTGTGCTCCCTTCATCTTTTACTCTATGCCCTTGATGGTGAACTTAAGGCACGGGTGCCACAGGTGGCACGCAGAGCCCTTTCTGTGGGCATGCAAGCCATCAGCCGAGCTCAGCTCCACCGCGCATGTTGATTTTTGGGTCTCTGCTGCATATGTGCGGGGGGCAGGGCAGATGTGGGAGATGTGCGTACATGCATGGGGGGCACATGTGGGGGTGCAGCAGACACCCCCGTGTCCCAGGAGGCTGCAGGGACACATACTAGGTCCAAAGTGGGACATGGAGGGGGTCGTGCGTGCATGTGGGAGGGGGAGCACGGGGCATCACACACGCATGTGCAGGTGTGTGTGTGTTTGTGCCGCATGTGCATTGCATTATGGGTACAGGCACGTGCGTTTTCAGCACACGATGACAAAGAGGTTAGCCATATTTCACTTTCTCTGTGTTTCCCCCTTCCCTAAAGGTGATCTCTAGTCTTTCCAAGAGAAAATGTAGATAAAGTTGATAGAGGGTTTGGCATTTGTCACCATTGGGAACAGTAGCACTGTATAGCACTATACTTTGCAGTATTGCCATAAATTATAAGGTATAATGAGAAGAGGAGGCAGAGGAATGACATAACAGCAAAATAGAAAAATGTCTGCGCATATGCTGGGTTCTTTGCATGGCTGGTCACTTGCATTGCCTGGGAATGCCTCTATTACTTTCACCCTAACTGCCTGCCTCTCTGTCTCTCCTCTACCCCATTATGTGCTGCCAGGCTGAGGAGAGGATGCAGTCAGAGGTACAGTAAGACCCTAACTTTACCTTCCGTTGCTATTCTGCTCTTGACCTTTGGTGGAGAGCCAGCAATCTTCCTGTTTTCTGACTTTCCCACCTTTTTTCTCTTTCTCCTATAGCAAATCCGCAAACTGCGCCGTGAATTGGAGTCATCCCAAGAGAAAGTAGCCACACTGACAACCCAGCTCTCAGCCAATGTGAGTAGCCAAATTGGTGCAGTAGTATAATGTTTACATGGAGTCTAAATGATTTTTTTTTTAAATTTCAGGAGTAACCGATTATATACCTACCTACTATTGTATTCACAAATAATTTAGGCAAAGTAAAAGAAATACAATGAAAGTTCAATTCTCACTAGAGTTACTGGGCATCACAGCAAAGCTTAGCTGTTCTAAACAAACGATCCATGTACTCCAGAGTTTTAACAGGATTATATTGCTGCGCAACAGCAATAAATTATCACTGAACATTAGAGAGGATATTAAGCTTTTGTGTTTATCATGTTGCAACAGCACCCTCTCTTGGCCTTCTATTCTTCTACTAGTGCAGCACCTTTGAAACTTTTGGAACGTTGGATTATATTCATTCCACCACCTTCTGGAAGCTGATCCTGGAAATATTCTTTGATCTATGGTCTTCTGGAATTGCTTTAAATTTTCAACAAAATTGTTTTTCTCTCAGTTTAAGTAATCCCAGGTTATATCCAAATCTTTCTCCTACTCCTAAAACTTCTGTCTTACTTTTCACAATTTCCATTTTATCATTAATTTGTTTTACATCTCCAATCATTTGTTCTACAGATTCTTCAATCTTGTAAATGTCCTCTTTCACATTCCTTTTTATCTCTGCAAATCTTTCTTCCATTTCCTTTTTAAAGGCATCCAAACTATTGGTAACTGTTTCAGTCATTCTCTTGCCAAATTTTCTGCCATAAATCTGGCCTTATCTGTAATGAATCCCTGCTTTTTGTTCCTTTTTTGCTTCTTTTCCTATGGTTGCCAATTGTAATATTTATGGCCAGAAAGTAAAAGTATGTCAATTACTACGCTGAAAGTAATCTTCCTTGTTCTCTGTCTTTAACACTTTAGTCCCAATTAGCTGTTTGTAACTACAGTCATACTCCTATTACCCCTATTTCATTTCATAAAATCTACTAAGTACCTACTTTCCTTAATACTAAACAATCAACATTCCCAAGAAGGTCAAGTCTGCTTGTCTAGTTAATTTTACAATTTTCAAAGACACTTTTATCAAAGAAAAAATTTTCTTGTTTTCTAAAATTGCTCTCCTCTTTATTTGTTCAAAACATTCTTAAACCACAATCTTGTTAAGCTTTTTGTTTTTAAGTCAAAATCCTTTAAGATGGTTTAACAGAATAACAGAATTGGAAGATACCTTGGAGGTCTTCTAGTCCAACCCCTGCTCAGACAGGAAACCCTATACCATTTCAGGCTAATAGTTGTCCAATGTATTTTTAAAAATCTGCAGTGTTATTTCTGGAGACAAATCATTCCACTGATTAATTGTTCTAACTGTGGGAAATTTCTCCTTAGTTCTAGGTTGGTTCTCTCCTTGATCAGTTTCTATCTATTGCTTCTTATCCTGCCTTCAGGTGCTTTGGAAAATAGGTTGATCCCTTCCCCCTTATGGCAGGCCCTCAAATTTTGGAACACTGCAATTATGTCACCCCCAATCCTTCTTTTCAATAGATTCGATATACATAATTCCTGCAACTGTTCTTCATATGTTTTAGTTCTAGTCCCCTAATCATCTTTGTTGCTCTTCTTTGCACTGTTTCCAGTGTCTTGATAGCTTTTTTTATATCATGGTGACCGAAACTGGATGCAGTATTTCAAAAAACTAGGCTACTCATGGTGTCTTTATTCTTTCGTACTGGTCAGAAGATCTCTCTCTCTCTCTCAAGTTGCAAATTAATATACTCCCAGAAGTGCTTAAGAAACTAAGGCTTTTGTAGATCAAATGTCCATAGAGGCTGCATAGTGTTTTTGAGCAGAGTAGCTATCCAGAACACACGTGGATCATCTCTTGATCTCTCTTTCCCCAGAGAAAATTTGCCACCTGTTGACCACTCTTTGTCACACTGTTGTCCCAACTCAAACAGATGCTTGTAGGGACATCTAACCTGTCTAGATTCACACCTGGAAGCCAGTGTCTGAAGTATCTTTGAAGCAAGTCAACATTCATTGTCTGTCATACTATCTGCAGCCCAGAACTAGCTATGGGAAGTGAATAATAATAGAGTGAGATCAAATCCTACTTTTTAGTAGAGCTTAATTTATGTGAAGCTCATTTTCACTCCTCTTAGTTACAGGTTCAGAGGTTTGGGACTAATTTTCATTCTCCTGCTGATAAAAAGTTTGTCAAACCATGATCTTAGTGTTATTTTATGTACTTTGATTGGGCTATGACTAAAATTGGCTCTTATTTTTCTTGCTAGGCTAACTTAGTAGCAGCATTCGAACAAAGTCTGGTAAACATGACATCCCGTCTGCGGAATTTAGCAGAGACTGCAGAAGAAAAGGTGAGTCATTAGATCAGAGAAGGGGAGAAGCAAAAAGTCACTTTAGTTTTCCTGTTGAAGAACAGTTTTTTTTTTTAATTCTCAGGGCTGTAGATGGTGAAAGAAGAAGAAGAAAATTATAATTATAATTTAGTTCTCTTAGACAATTGATATTAGGCAATATGACCCAAGCTCAGCTAAAAGCAAAAATGTCCAGTATGGGGGAAAAAAAACAATTCTGCTTCTGTGTCTACAGACTTGGATCATAAAACTTTCAGTTTTGTTTATATAATAATTTATTCTCCAGTATTGGGTATTTGTTAAAATATTAGTTTATACTTCTTCAATGGGGTGAATTACTATATAGAAAGGTAAAGTCTAATCTGTAGCCATGGTATTTCCCAGGATCTCATCTCAGGTGTGTCTCTACGTAGCTTTTTCAAGATTAACCAAATTCATCCAGCTATTGCCACTTGATGACACAATTTACAATTCAGGGGATCAAGGTACAGACTTCAAATAGTTCCAGATCAATTAACATAAAACAAAAGAAAATTAATCAGTGTTGCTTATTTAATACTAGACACTTTTCAGTTTTTCCATTTCTTAGAATAGGTTTAGGCAGTCTACAGGTTAGGTTTTTGATGGGTTTTTGCCCCAGTCATGTTATTGTTATTTATGTCTCTTTAAAAGACACAAAAATAAGTACAATAGGCATGGTAATCTTGGACTTCCTGTGGTGACATCACTTCCATGAGGGCAAAGGAATGATAGCTCTACTAGCTTTGCTCAAGTCTCTGTGGTGAAGATCCTGAAAAAGGACGAGTAAAACCTGGAGGGATCAACAGGAGAGAGGGGGAGCCCGGGCGCCGAAGGAGTAAGCAAGCAAGCAATTTTCCTATTGGAAGAAGGAAAACCCCTTGAAATCACCAGAGAAGGAATCGGCGTCCATGGCCGATTTTGGGTGGTGACTGCCGCATATGAGGGAGAGAAAATAGCAACACAGCAACATTGGTGAGAATATTTAAAACAGCTAAAACAGTATAAATTCTATTAAAGACTC